TTTAAATGTAGAGAAATCTAATTGTTGTATATTCGTGGATTGATGGAATCTTCAGTTCTCTATTGCTGGTTGTCATTCTCCATTGCAGAATAATCATGGATTGCTGACATTTGTAGCCCTCTATAGCCAGTTGCCCTTCTCCATTGCTGTATAATCAATGAGCATGGCAACCATCTATAAAGGACTACAAATGTCAGCAATCCATGACTGCTGGTTGTCATTCTCCATTGCAGAATAATCATGGATTGCTGAGATTTGTAGTACCCTATAGCCAGTTGCCATTCTCCATTGCTGAATAATCATGCATTGGGTTACAGTTCTTCATAATTATAAAGAAACTGCCCTATCAGGGAAACTGCCCTAAATCATTAGTCTCTGTATTGTGTATGAAAAAAAATCGCATGTCCCTTTAAGAAAAAGTATCGATAATTGGTATCAGGTAAGTACCTGAGGGAAAGTACTTGTACTTGGTCTTGAAAAAATGGAATCGGGACTTCCCTACTGTACATTATAAGGAAATTAAAAAAATATTGGTAAAACATTGGGGCATTTTGAAAATTGATAAAATTCTGGAACCACTAATACAAAAAATATATATATACAGAAGGGTCCCTACGCTAAGGAATAGGGTAGCACATAATGTGGTAAACCCCACCAAGCAAGGGACTAACACTATTAGGAGGTGTGGGATTCTATCGCTGCACAAGATGTGCTGATTGTAAAATTGCGCAACAAAAGAAAAAAATGGCACAATTTCTATCTACAATAATGAATGTAAGTTTGCCTTTAAAAACTTAATCTCAGGTAATACAACCTATGTAACTTACCTCCTAGAGTGCTCAAGTGGCCAGCAGTATCTGGGGAGTGTCATGGTGCAGCCATAAAAATATCCTTTTTTTGGCCCTTATCATAAGACATCCTGAAATGTCAATTAATTTCTTTTAGTGAATGCTGTCTCAGAGCAAACACAATTTTTACATATAAACTCGTTAGCTGGGTAGTGTTAATTAAATCAAAGGTGGGTTTGTTGTGCTTCCCCAGCAGGGGACCTCAGCACAGTCAATTTACTTCCTGGGACTTTCTAGACAAAAATGGTCTCTGGGTGGGTTTTGTCACCAGACTGGGAAAAGTGTTGCCTCATCTTGTGAGGGGATGTCCGTAAGAGTGCTGTCCCGCAGAGGAAGTTGGTAGAGGAAACGCGTCTGGGTGGGGCTTACTGATGTCATTTAACAGGAAACAAGTCAGGAGTAAAGAGACTGGATACCTAAGCAGGGTGAGCGGAGGATTATACAAATGTTCTTATTTGATTTTATGTGTGTGCATTGTTTTATTCTATTATTATTCTTCATATACAGGATTTATATAGCGCCAACAGTTTGCGCACAACTTTACAATATAGCATATTAAGTAAGGAATAAGGAGTTAGTGGCCGTTGTTTTTAGCTGTTAGTAAGTCATTAGTGAGTTTTAGGAGGACGGTTTCAGTGGTGTGTAGGGGGTGAAAGTTGGACTTTAAGGGGTCGAGAAGGTTGTTATCAGCAAGGTGACAGCTCAGGCAGTTGTAGATAATGCATTCTAGGATTTCAGAGGTCAATGGGAGTAAGGAGATTGGTCTGAGATTGTTGAGGTTGGTAGAGGTCCAGTGAGGTTTTTTTTGTTGAGTATTGCGGTGACCAGCGCATGCTTTAGAGGGGAGGGAAAGATTGAAAATGTGAGTAAGAGAGTGTAGGATAGAGCAAGAGGGTAACCGAAGTAGTGGTGAGGGAACAGGGTCCAGGGCTGAGGTGGGTGTCAGAGAAAAGCTTTATAACCTCCTCTGTGGTGACAGGGTCAAAAAAGGAAAGTAACAAGTGTGATGGTGGGTCTGGTACATGAATTGGGGAAGGTGACTGCACAGTGGCGATGTGATCCTGAATTATATCTTTTTTTTTTTTTTTGAGTGAGTTAGTGGGTGGTGGCGGACATAGTAGAGAGTTAAAAGTAGAAAAGAGTTGACGTGGTCTGGATGAGAGTGTGTTAATGAGAGTGACAAAATAAGTTTGGCAGCACAGAGGCAGGAATTATATTTTAGGAGGGCAGCTTTATACAGGGTGAAGTTGTGGAGAGACCTAGTTTTCCCCCATAGGCACTCAAGAACGCGGCTATGTCTTTTTAGATGTCTGGTTTCTTCTGTTTGCCACAGTTGTAGTGGATGCGGTCTAAGTCCACGACATTAAGAATAGTTGAGTGGCAGAAGTAAAGTTTGTAAGCATTCGGTATGATGAGCTAGATGTTCTAATAAAGATTATATAAGACGACTACATTATGGGGAATATGTATGTGTGCTTTTGAGCTCCAGTAGGACGGTGGATTTTGATGAAGGATTAGGGAAGTTGAAGGTGGTATATAAAGGAAGTCAAAACTGGTGGTAAAGTTAAAACTTACAGCGGTTATGATTTAAAGGGGAAACCTCTCCGGTGTGCAACCCATAAGTCTTTCTGACCACCATAAGGCTGATCAAACCATCTGGTGAGTGTGGTAATGTGTTCCACACAAGGGTGCATCACGAGTGGATTCCTTTCTAAGCAGGATTAAAGATCACAATTTTGGGGGCTGATGTGATCTGCAGTTCTGGAAAAGTTTATGTGCATAGTGGACTAAGTTCCACACAGGGGTGCATCACAAGTGGATTTATTTTAAAAGCATTATGCAGTACATGCAAGAGTGTCATGTGGAGCAGATGGCTGTGGAGGAAAGTCATGACTTCATGGTAATGAATTTGGAGCATGCGCAGACAGAGTAGCAATGCAGAAGAGTGTAAATTATCCACGATAGCATTGCCACTCTCAATGGGGAACTGGCAGGAATAATAGAAAATAGATGGAATACTTCTACTTAAGATAAAATTTCAAGTTTTTGGTTTATTGACACTAACAAATATAAGCCACCTAACTAATTACACTAACTGTTCAATAAACCACTCCATTCTGAATGTCTTTCCAGAATTGGGCACATTTTGCAAGTTTAATTGATTAATAAACATCGTTGTCTTTGTTTTGTAGCATCATTGTCGAAATTGTGGAGATATCTTTTGCAATACATGCTCAAGTAATGAACTTTCACTGCCGTCATACCCGAAGCCTGTACGCGTGTGTGACACCTGCCATAACTTACTGCTCCAGAGATGTTCCTCAAATTGTTCTTGAGATCTCAAATGTTTTTTCTGAAACTACAGAAGAAAATGAATTGGTTTTTTTCTTTCTACAAGTTCTGCTATTTACTTGTTCGACATATCTAAATGTATATTTTTCTGGTACTGCCTTCATAAGAAAAATTGAATGCCATACTCACACGCAATCAATGACTAAGCCATTACAGCCTATTTTGTGTATGTCAATAATGTAACTGTTTATCTTACATTTTCTGTACTTTATGTTGCACAATTTTGCAGTGATTTTGAACTAAATCTGCATTATTAACATGTCAAGAAATGTGCCTTTGTGGATTTTCAGCTTTTTAAAAAAATATTCAGATCATATTTGATATAAATCCTCCTTTGATACCAGAAATAAAAAAAAATATATATATATACATTTCTTTTGTTGATGATGTGTATTTTATGATTTTCAGACGACCCTTTAACTTTTAAATATAATCTCCCTTTTTCCTGATAATGTATATCTGTACTTTACTGTACCAAGTTTATTGCATAGGTAGAAAATGCTCCTAGTTACATGGTTAAAATTAAACCAATCACAAACAACTGACATTCCATAAGGTAGGAGCCGAGTAATGGAAAGGCAGCTTATATAAATGGTGATGTAATGGAAAGGCAGCTACAATGGTGATGCAATGAGTGGGTTTCTAAATGTTTGCACTAAATCAAAAGTATCTCTAACAGTAAACAATGTAGTTGAATGTTTTTGCACAATAATTAGCATAAAAACGGAAACGGAATTAAAGGAGAACTAGGGGATGAGTGAATTTCACTCAACCACATAGTTAGAGCCGATGTGTGACATTGAAACTGTCAGACGTCGGCTCTATTGATCGGGATGTGAGCGAACACATATGGTCGCTCGCTGTCAATCATCCAGCTGGGTGGATCTCAACCAGTATTTTCGGAATCTGTCCCGGCTGCAGCACTCTCAGTATATAGCGAGCTGTATACTGAGCTTTGGGTTACGGGAGGAGGTTAGTGCATGTCCTCCCGTGACCCTTAAGAGAACTATGGGATAAAAGTTTACCCCATAGTTTTCTTTTAATCCATGCCCTTCCTCGTTAGTCAGTAATAAGGAAATTGCTGTGTCAATAATAGTGTTATATCACTCGACATAGCAAAAGCCTTTGATGGCTTGGAATGGCAATTCTTGTGGGGAATTCTTAAATCTTTTGGTTTTGGTCCTAAATTTTTATGGGAGATACAAGTGCTCTATGCGAAGCCGACATCTAGAATTAGGGTGAAGGTACTACTTTTGTACCCCTTTTTGCTACAGAGAGGTACAAGACAAGGGTGCCAATTGTCTCCTCTATTGTTTGCACTAGCTATTGAACCCATGGCAGTTTTAATTTGCTTGTGTCCAAACATTAAGGGATTTAAACTGGGCCCTATAGAAGATAAAATATCACTTTATGTCGATGATACATTATTTCTTGCTGATACACAATCCTCATTGGTTAATACAACGTCACACATATCAGAGTTTAGTTGTTATTTAGGATTAACCCCTTCGTGACTGACGACGTACAGTGTACGTCGCCAGCATCGGGGCTGTTTAAACAGACTCCCGGCGACTTTTGCCGCCGGGACTCTGTTTAAACTTGTAGAGCCGACTGTCGGCTTTACAACAGAAGCGATCCTGGCGACTTACCTGTCGCCAGATCGCTTCTGCGTCCCGAAGAAGGGCCCGCCCACATGAAGGGGTTAAAAATGAACTGGGATAAATCCTATTTCCTCTTGCTGGACCCTATACAAGTCACTATACCGTGTGAAGCTACACATACCCCAATGGTTAGTTGATTTCCATATCTGGGAATACAAATTACACCTAACATTCTAGATTATTTAGAGATTAGTTTTTTTTTCTGTTCTGAATAAGCTTAAATAACAAATGCAGGTGTGGAATAGACTACCTCTATCAATGGCCGGTACAGTTAATTTAGTTAAGATGATCTGGCTACCTAAACTTCTGTATCTTCTCCAAAATGTGCCTTGTTGGGAAACAAGATTTTTTTAAAAGATTAAATTCAATATTTAGAGAATTTATTTGGAAAAGTAAAACACCAAGAATTAAACTTGAAACTTTAGAATATCCAAAAGAGAAGGGTGGACTGGCATTACCCAATTTAAGGTTGTATTTTTTGGCAATGTAGTTACAACACTTGGCGTGATGGGAGTGGCCAATAGAGCATCACCAGGTTTATTATAATATTAAGTACCAATTTGGAGGGAATGACCTCCCCCATTATGCCTTAGAAACGACTCCATATGCAGAGGCTATGGTATCTGTTCCAACTATACGGCTAATAGGCACAGTATGGTCAGCTTGTCAATTGTTAAATCGTTGATGTCTTTTACAGGATTTACTAAACTTACACCTATTTGGGCTACTAAATTACTTCCAGAGAATTTGAAACTTTCAGGGTTTGTTAAATGGAAAAAGGCGGCCATATGGACGCTGGCACAAATTTATGAGCTGGGTTCTTTATGCTCCTTTCAACAGTTGCAAAGCGAGTTCTTAATAATACTCAGTTTTATTAATATTTACAGTTCAGGCATGCAAATTCTACGAAGGGGCTAATTTCAAACATATATGCCTCATTGTTGAAGGCATTTTTACAACAATTCCCCCTAAAGTGTAGATGTGGCTGGGAATTCGATATAGGGAGGTTAGAAGATGAGACATGGGAGGCAATTAAAAGGTCAGTTCAAAGGACATCTCTTTCTGCCACTCATAGATTGATTCAACAAAATATTTAACACCGTACTTATCGGACCCCTGAATTTCTTTGTAAACTTGGTATCAGACCTGATGCAAAGTGTCTTAAATGTAGGTTGGTGCCAGACTCACTGATGCATTTGCTATGGCGTTGTCCAAAATTAGTAAGCTATTGGGAATCTATTGTAAGCTCTATAAATGTGACTTTTAGTACTAGTATCATTTTCCCCCCTGGTATGTATCTTTGGGGTTTTTGATCAATTGGAATGGGAACATCATAAGGTGTTGGCTATAGAAAGAGCGTTATTTGTGGCTCATCGGGTTCTTGTGCTTAAATGGACGGAGAAATCTCCCCCATCCAAGGTGCAATGGGTGGCAGAAATGAATCATGTAATCGATTTAGAAAAACATACCTTTCAATATAGTGGACTGAGGGGAACTTTCCTAGAATTTGGGGAAAATGGTTGTCTTCTACTTACTATTCTGTACCCTTATACTTCCCATCATACACATGAGTTTGTATGGTTGGAAGATATTTGTATAATATCATGTCCTGTTTGAAAAGAGGAATGGTTATGTAACAAAATCACCTGTGCTATTATATTATGTTTTTGTTTTGTATAATGATTTGTAATTTTTTTTGTAATGTAATTTTGTATTTAGTTTTTTTTTTTTATTTGTTTTTTTTTGTGTGTGTGTTTTTCTCTTTGTAATTTGTATGCGGCAAAGCCTTAATAAAAAAAATATCTGATTAAAAAAATGATAGCTGTTGTAAAGTAAATGTAAAGTGCTGTTGTAGGCTCAATAATCTGGCCACAACAAGCATTTGAAATTGAGAGAAACAATTTCACCAGGTCTTAAGTAGTAGTTAGATTGTTGGTCCTGAGCTTGCAATAGGCACCATAAACAGCAGATCTGATCATAGTAATCCAGCCATAGTGTGTAAATAAGAGTACTGGAACATGTTTAACCAGGATCTCAGGGGGGAAGGCTGTCACTGCATAAAGTGCCGACAGAGTCCGATTGCAGCTGCAGGCATGAGTGAGGCTGGTTGCAGTAAGGAGGTAACTTTGGACCCCATCAGAACACCACGTGCCCTGACATGTTTCGCCAGATGAGCAGCTTTCTCAGCCGCTGGCCATGAAGATGTGCATCTGGCAAAACGTGTCACAGGAGCCACATACCTGAGGTGAGACCGAAGTAGTGGGGAGGCCTCCCTTGCACCTCGGGTCCTTGAAGTCTCTGGAGATGGAGACAGAGACTTGGTGGACACCGAGTGGCAAGGGTGCCAGGGGTGCGGAGCACCGTGCAAGCCTTAGTCCGAGATCCGAGCTGAGGTCAAGTCCACTCTGGCAACTAAGTACACAAGGGTTAATCAGAAGAATGGTCGAGATCTAAGCCGGGGTCGGTTCCAATCTGGCAGCTGAGTAAAAAAGGGGCAAAGAAGTAGAATGGTCAAGGTAGAAATCCGAGGTCAATGGCAGGCAGCAATCAAGAGTAGTCAAATAGGTTTCCAGGTCACAACAAGTTCAGACAGATCACACACTAGCACAGGAACAAGGGGCGACTGAAGATAATCCAGCAATTCGGCAGTGTCTGGGCTGGGCTTATATAGGGAAGTGATGATTGAAGTCTGAGGTCACTTCCTGTGCGCCTCCTGGGCATTTTCCTGCCTTTTTCCATCAGGTCTTCTGCGCATGCACGGGTTGGCGCACTGATGCGTCTTTGGTGCATGCGCAGTTGGTGCGTATTTTCTCTTGCGGCAACGCGCCATTAGCACGTAGTAAGCCCTGGACTCTTACAACATGTTAGGTCACATGGTGTTCTGACGGGGTATGCAGTTCCCCTACTTGCTGCAATTAGCCTCATTTATGCCTGTAATTGGCACAATTACATTGTGGATGGATTATTCAGCCTACAACATCACTTTAGAAAAGCTATCATTGCCTTTGCCACAGCAATTTCATTACTACTATTACATTATCCGAATGAGTAGCTTTCATGCATATTTTTATGCATAACTCCCAAATAACTCTCCTGTGCTTCTGTGTCTCTCTAGGCAGTATGTTAGAAGGTGATTAGGCTTTATGGGCTGTGCAAATTAGAGTCCAACATACTGGGGGGTCAGAGGAAGGTGACGATGGCCCTGAGACATGAGGAAGGGTTTCTGGCGGTCTCAAATTTCTCTGGCACAAGATCCAAAATGATTCAGTAAACCCTAGTGGCCCTAGGCACAGGAAGTCTTTAGCAAAGCAATTCTGTTAGTGGAAAGGATATGCGCGCTTCAAGATTTTAATCATGACATTTATGGCATTTTTAACTGCTTGACTGCTAAACAGCAAAATGTATGTTGGTTGATTGTTTTAAAAATGCCATTTGGAAAACACAGAATATTTTATTATTTAAATATATTTTTTTGATGTTAATAATTGTATCAAATGACTTTGGCCGAAATGTGTATTTTATTTTTGAAAGGACAAAAAGCGCCTAGGTGGTAAATAAACCAGATCCACCTGGTGCTTGACTAGGTGGAACACCATTGTAAAGGCAGAGGTCAAAAAGAGAAGAAAGTCCCAAAAGTTAAGTCAAAGGTCAAGAATTCTGACGATGAGATGGCGAAAATCGGACAGAA